CCTCCCAGTCGTTGTCCTCCTCCCCCTGGGTCCGCCCCCAGCCCTGCTTCCCCGCCCTCCCTCTGCCCCCTCCACTTTCATGGCTCCGCGGCCATCCCTTAAAGGGACAGCCCACTCCTTTCTCCGCGCTGGCCCGCGCCCGGGTTACCCTGCGCCCGGAGGGTGGGTCACTAGGAACCGGTTGCTGAGGCTTTGTTGCCGTTCACCAATGGCTGGACTGGAAAAGGGGCCCTCGGCCCCGGGGGGCCGGGCGGGGTCTCCAGGCCTGGAATTTATGAATGAAACGGTGGGGCTGAGAGAGGTTGTCGCGGGCCCCCCTTTCTCTCCTGCACCCATAAACTCTTCTCCCACTGCAGATTTTTTCCTGTTTCTTTCCATCTTTCTCTCGCGCCCCACTCACCCGTGTTCTTCTAAACTTTTGCGTGGGTCCGCGCGCGCGCACACACACACACACACACACACACACACGCTTAGAAACCTCAGCTCTTCACGCCTTATCTCCAAAAGATCTGTAACTTTGTTTTAAAAAAAAATTAAAGAAGTGCTACCTCTTAGCTCAAACGTCCACGGGCTCGTTTTCTCTACACAAATTAGATCTGGTGGAACTCGTGCTTTGTTCTCACTGTGCGGTGGGGTAGGGAGGATTCCTTCCCATCAGTTCCCGTTCTCTCCTTTGGGCCACCACTGTGAGCGCAAAATCATCACAAATGCCTGATCTTTATATTTGGTCTGGCCCCGAGTGGGCGAAGGCGAGACAGCTAAGTCCAGCCTGGGCGGTGGAAGAGGAGGGAAAAATAAGTCCCCAGGGGAAATTAACACAAAAGAATTCTTTTTTCTTAGTCGCAGCTACAGCACTGCAGGAAAGGAAGGGGCTCCTTGCAAGAGGCCCTTGACTCCTTTCCAAGCAGGGCTCTTTCCTCCAGTCTGAACAACTTTAAAGCGGCGTCCTCTGGCCCTGCCTAATTAGCCCTCCTCTTTTCTGACGAAAATGGCGCTACAGACCCACTACCAGAGAGCATGCGCTCTGAGGGCTCCTCCGGAACAGGTTAGTATCCGCCCTTTCATTCGCTGTGGCTTATTTACCTCTAGGAAGAAAGGGGGCGCACACCAGAAAAACAGACTGACAGACTCTCAGGGAGGGAAGCTCAACTCGATGTCTTAGACTGTTAGCCTGCTTTGGTGTCTCTCCAACCAGGCACAAAAACAATAAACTAATACTACTTTTATATTCAGAAAAAGTATTCAGAGCATCTCAGTTATTCTAACTAAACACGTCCTTATAAGACAGTTTAAAAAAAGTTTTATGCAAACATCTAAATCTTTAAACACCAAGCTGAGTCAGGTAAAGCTAAAAGAACTACTAAAAGCACCTGCTAACATCCTCATTTTCATATGACGAAGAAAAATATCTTAAAAGTTTTTAAAGTTGTAAAAGTTCTGAAAAGATAAGTGTAATGAGCGGTAAACTCTGCAGAGATGCATCCCAACTCTCAAGTGTATCGTCCACGCTCAGTTGAATTTTGCCTGATGTTTACGCTCCCAAATCTTAGTGTCAACAATCATGTTGGCCAATTCAAATCATTGTGCACAATTCAAATCAATGTGCACTTGAAAATATCTAAGTGAGATTTTATGTGAAAAATACAGAAAAACAAAATGTGTGAATATTTAAAATATATATCCATTGGTGAAATTATATTTGCAAAGTTGCTTATTTAAAATTCTTGTAGAATCTAAGCTCAAGTTCTCTAAGAATTTTTTACCTAAGTGTTGTATTAGAAAAAAAAAAAGTGCCTTAGAAGTAGGAACTAGGCATGATGCTCCACCCCTCGGGAAGCTGAGGCAGGAGGATTGTCTCAAGTTTGAGGCTAGGCTGGGCAACACAGTGAGTTCGAAATACTAATAGTGAGCAAGGCCATGTCTCAAAAAACAAGTAGGGGGGTTAAGGGTGTAGTTCTGTGGTAGAGTGTTGGGCTATTATGCAAAACCTTGGGTTTGATCATCACCATCATAAAATTTTTTTTCAAAATATGGAAGTTTGAATTCTCATTCATTGCATACATTTTGAATTTCATAAACAGCTTCATGAAAAGAACTCCAAATCTACATTTTCAGAAAAACCAAATTTAACTGAATACTGTCGTTATTTTCTAAAATGAATTTACAAAACTCATTTATCTTTTCATATAACCCTATGTTGGTGAGGAGGGATGAACTACAATGTAACAAATAGAAATCCTTACAATAAATGAAAATTTAATTTTTTTCCTTAACATATTTATAACATGAATATTATAGTAAAAGTTTTAATGTAACACATTGCTATAAGTAATGTTTTTAATGTTACATGAAAGAAAAATGCCAGTGCAATCAAATCTCTCAAAACCAAAATCTGCACAGTCTAAAAGTGTTTTAAAAGTCTAGAAGAAAAATGTGTACAAGACAGTGCACACACAGCACGCACAGATACCAAGGTTCTAATGAGATCATAAAACACATTATTTCCTCAATTTTCATGAGGTCAAGATCCTAGAGGTTGTAGTTTCATAATAAAGGCATGCCTTTACAGGCTATGAAGGGAGGTGATGGAAGAGACTTCTTTCCAACCATCCAGCTTGATATAAATGTAAGGAATGCACTTTCATTTAAGCAACAGTAAAGAAAGGTGTATCTCCCAGAAAGAAAATAGTAAGAGGTCTAAAATGTCACCCAACTACAGAAAAGGGAGGGAGTGTTACATGCAGAGATCCAACAGATAAGTATAAAAAGTGTCTTGAGTTGTAAAACAATATTTAAGTCTAACACAACTATCTTTTTTAGCGCAGGCTCAGATACCCGACAGCTTGAGTTTGTGCACCTACAGAGCTAGAAAATTCTACCAGCGGCAGCTCTGGATGGTGTCAGCACCCTCCAGGTGCAATTCTTCCCCTTGAGGCTGTGCCAAAGACTCCTAGTCACTCTCACATATAACAACTCTTCAAAAATACGAACCGGCTCCCTTGACCACCCCTTCCCCTGAGAATACCCAGGATTAACATCCACGTGCTCTTCAACCTCTTCTCGCATCACATGGATTCAAGCCTCCTCCCTTTCCAGTCCGGTGCCTTCGGTTTGCCCAGTTTCTCCTAATGTCCCAGAATGCAATGCAAGCCAATGGTGACCTGGTGTGACCGGTTCTGAGATCAGAAAAAAATTTTTAAAAAAAACAAAACTCAGATGGGAGAAAAAGCAATGTAAACGTAAAAGAACTTCTCTCACTTAGCTGCAAGGAAAACACTGTCTAATTGGAAGAGGACAAAGAAACATGAGCGCAAGATAGTCAAAGACCTGACATCTGTGAGATTTACATACTCTGCTCTTTTTAAATTATCATTTCTCATTAGAACATACTTCTTCAGTAGTGAGGATAAATTAACTAAGCAAGTAAGAGAAAATATGGAATATGTGCTCTGAATTCTTTCTAGAAGTTAATTTCAGATTAAGTATGAAACAAGAAGCAGTAGAAATGTATACTGCTAAGTAATTTTGAGTTCACTGTAACTTGAATTATTTATATTTTGATAGTTAATTCCTTGTCTGATGCCAAAACTAATGTAAAGCAGCTTTCAGTAAAATGTATAAACCGCTGTGTAACTCAGTGGTAAATCATTTTTGCCTTGTATACACAAAGGCTTGGATTTGACCCCCAGCACAGCAAAAAATAAAATAAAATGTATATGCAAAAAGATTATTACAGTGGAACCAGAATACCAAAAATGTATAGATGGTGTGGCTCGTAAACCAACCAGCTAACACCTTGGCCTAAACCAGCATCACACAAATGCCTGTTTAAGAATTCCAAACCATAAAGGCTATTTATGAAAAACCATCAGCCAACATCATATTGAATGGCCAAAAACTGAAAACCTTCATGTTAAAATCAGGAACAAGACAAGGATGCCCACTATCGCCACTTCTCTTCAATATAGTTCTGGAAACATTAGCCACAGCAATTAGACAAGAGAAAGAAATTAAAGCAATAAAGATAGGAAAGGAAGAAGTTAAACTATCATTATTTGCTGATGATATGATACTCTACATTGAAGATCCAAAAAACTCCACCAAAAAACTTCTAGACTTAATTGACAGATTCAGTAAAGTATCTGGATACAAGGTGAATACCCAAAAATCAATAGCCTTTCTATACACAAATAACAGACAGACAGAAAGAGAAATAAGGGAAAAAATTCCTTTTACAATAGCATCCAAAAAAATGAAGTATCTAGGAATCAATCTAACAAAAGAAACAAAAGATCTCTACACTGAAAACTACAGCACTCTGAAAAAAGAAATCGAAGAGGATATAAAAAAATGGAAAGATATCCCCTGCTCCTGGGTAGGAAGAATCAACATAGTGAAAATGGCCATACTACCGAAACTGCTATATACATTCAATGCAATGCCAATTGAAATTCCAACACTATATTTCACAGAACTAGAAAAAAGAATCCAAAAATTCATTTGGAACCACAAGAGACCTAGAATAGCAAAAGCCATTATAGGCAACAGTCACATGGCACCAGGTGTAACAATTCCCAATTTGAAACTATACTACAAAGCCACTGTGATAAAATCAGCATGGTACTGGCAAAGAAATAGGCCTGAGGATCAATGGAACAGACTGGAAGACACAAAAACAAATGCAGATGTACTCAGCTACCTCATCTTCGACAAAGGAGCTCACCATCCTCAGTGGAGGAAAGATAGCCTCTTTAATAAATGGTGTTGGAAAAACTGGATATCAACCTGTCACAGATTAAAATTAGACCCTTATCTTTCGCCATGCACTAAATTAAAATCCAAATGGATTAAAGATCTAAATATTAAAACAGAAACATTAAACTTGCTGGAAAGTAAGTTAGGCAGAACTCTGGAAGACATTGGTATAGGAAAAGACTTTATGAACAAATCCTCAGTAGCACGGGAACTAGCAGAAAGAATCAACAACTGGGATCTCATCTTACTAAAAAGCTTCTGTACTTCAAAAGAAACCATTAGCAGAACTAAGAGACAATCTACAATGTGGGAAAAAATTTTTACCAGCTGTACCTCAGACAAAGGACTATTATCAAGGATATATAAAGAACTCAAAACAATCAGTCCCCCCAAATATAAAGACCCGATCCAAAAATGGGCATCCGAAATGAACAGACATTTCTCATACAAAGAAGTGAAAGCAGCAAGAAAATATATGAAAAAATGTTCCACATCACTGGTCATTCGAGAGATGCAGATGAAAACAACACTGAGATTCCACCTCACCCCACAAAGAATGGCTGCTATCAAGAAATCACACAATAACAAATGTTGGCGGGGTTGTGGGGAGAAAGGAACCCTCCTCCATTGTTGGTGGGAGTGCAGACTAGTGCAACCACTATGGAAATCAATATGGAGATACCTCAAAGAGCTTGGACTGGAGGTTCCATTTGACCCAGCCATCCCTCTGTTGGGTATCTTTCCAAGAGAACTAAAAGAATCATATCACAGAGAAGTATGTGCACCCATGTTTATAGCGGCACAGTTTGTAATAGCTAAATCTTGGAAACAACCTATTTGCCCATCCGTTGGAAACTGGATAAAGAAGTTGTGGTTTTTCTATAAAATGGAATATTACTCAGCCATAAAGAGCGAGAGAATAGATTCATTCATAGGAAAATGGATACATATTGAAGATATACTCCTAAGTGAAATAAATAAGTCCCACATGTGTAAATACCAAATAGTTTCCCTGGTGTGAATATTCTGCAACAATGCATAAGATTCTAATAAGATTACTGACATTTAGAAATGGGAGGAAAGGAGCTAAAGGTGTAGGGAAGGTGTGATACGTAGGGGAAGAACAAAAAGGGAAAAGAAAAAAATGTGAGAGAATGAAAAGATGAAAATAAAGTGTTTGTAGATGGGGAGGGGAGGAGGGGGTGAAGGGAGGGCAGAGGTAAGGGGAAAAAAATGAGAATCAAGACTTGCCATGTAAAGGTACATGATCCCAACAATGAATGTAACTGTACTGTATCCCTAAATGTACCAATAAACTCAATAAAAAAAAAAAAAAAAGAATTCCAAACCATCCAGCCCTTGGGAGGTGGAGGCAGTTGGATCTTGATTAGAGGCCAACCTGGGCTACACAGTGAGATCCCATCTCAAAAAACAACAACAACAACTAAACCAGAATCAAAGAAGAACCAGAAGGAACCCAGAAGACCAGCTAGTTAGAATTTTCAAACTCCACAGTGTCCAGGGAATTTAGCACAGGCCTGACCTGGAGAGTGTGGTGGGGTGGGTAGTTGCCCAGAGCTTCTTTTATTTGTTAAAGATTTATTGAGATCTTTTATTTCTAACAGCAAAATAGAAGGGAAAAAGAAGAAAAGAAGAAACTGAGGTTTGTAGTGAATAACTGATTTTCTAAAGTCATGTAATTGGTTGGTTGTAGAAATAAGCCCAATATTCATTATTTGCTCTACTACAAGAGCTTTCTCTAAATTTTCTCCTAAATTATCTTAAATTACATTGTTTAGTTTTATCGGTCTTACATTTTTGAAATAATAAAGTGTCAAATAATAACATACATATAGCATCTATAACTATTTGCATCAAAACATTTAGAGAACATCCTGGAATACTTTAAGCTTGGAATTAAACAACAAAAGATATTGTATTGTTCCCCTTTGCTATTGTTCTCATTGGCTTCTATTAAACTTGAATTATATGCACGAGGCCCTGTATTCAATTTCCCATACTACAAAAACATTTTGATTGTGTTTCCGCCACTTCAATTTATGAGTAGTGTAGTGGCGTTCTACCAACTGTGCTTTAAGAAATACTGGTTTAGTGAACATTAATGCTTTGGGGGATAGGAGCTGGGGAATGGAACCCAGGAGTCACACAAGCTGGACCAGGGCCACATCACAAAGCCACATCCCCAGCCCAGTGAACATTACTTCTAACAAGTTAATTCGATAGTCGTCTCATTCCTCCCAAATGCAGTCAACAAAGAATGATGCAGATATGGAAGGTAAAAGGCAGATTCATGGACTGGGCTGTAGTTCACTGGTAGAGTGTTTGCCCGGCATATATGAGGCCCTGGGTTCAATCCCCAGTACCACAAACAATATAAAAATAATAAGGAAGAAAGAAGGAAAGATTCATGACCAGTAGTAGTCAATTTATTGTCCAGTATGATAATTTTTCAAATAGCCTAACAATTCAATGCATTTTTTAAAATTTACAGAATATATCCATCTACATTTATTTTGAAGTGAACTTTTTCATTAAAAAAAAATATATA